TTTGTCCAAAGGTGGGACCTGAAGATTCCGGCAATGGAACCATTGATGCAAAGTCAATGAGGGTCTCGCACTAACCTATGCAGATGCAAACACACACACACACACAAGCCCCTTTGCGACCACGAGTGTCGCTTTCAAGCGACGAGGAGTCGCTAGGCTGTCTGGTTGCCCCTCGTTTTTTAGGTTTCGTGCTTCTTTTGATACTTGCTGCCATCTCCACTGCATTGACGCGACCAACGGTAACTGGACCATATTGATCATCACGGAGCTTGATTACAGATTTTCGTGTACAACCTGCAGGCCCTGCATCATACTGGGAGTGGGTCTCACTGTTTTGGTGATTGGCATTTTCACTTCTTGTTGCAACGACCTGTTCGATTCCCACCACATTGACAGATTGCGGCCTGTTCACTGGATATTCATTTCATCAACACTGATTGTCAACTTCATTTCTGCACTGGACATTGCAATTTGCGAGCGTTTTTCAATTTATTTTGCACATTTCGGCACCAGTTGCGCACTTGAAATCTGGAAGCTTCTACACGAGAGCCAGCGCGACAACACTGATCACTATAGTGGCTTTCTGCAGTGGGGCCCTCGCTGCTCTCACTTCGAATTTTCTGCAACTGCGCGATTCACAGATTGTTCACAGACAGCCATTCTGCGATAATTTCCAACATAACCGGATCACTTGTGTGGGGGGACGGCAAGCCTTGCCCTGGCGTATGCAGTGTGTGTGCAGTTGCACAAGTGGATACGTCCACCCAACACCAGCCACTTGACGAACTTTGCATCACCAAGTTGTTCCTTGCATCATTTTTTTCCATTTTTACCGGCATTGGTTTTGATCTCACTGCCCTACCACTTGGCAGTAACTACGCTGAAGATTTTTGGCCTTGCCAGTGCCAAAGTCCAACAATTGCCAACGCCCTGGCAGATCCAACCCAAGGATCCTGTGTTGCCAGCCAATCCCTTACCCATAATCCCAGTGCCCATAATTTTAATAATACCAATAATTCCAATAGGTCCAGTAACTTCGCAGCTGACAGTATCATTGGTTTCCTGCTGACACTTGCTTCTTGCTGGTGTCTGAGTGCTATTTTTCCGCAGAGGTGCCACCGAACCAGCCTTTTCACCAAACGCAAACCCGGTCCCAAGTCCGGGCATTCCAGGCTCATTAGCTGTGCTGTTGCCATCCTGAGTGCTCTTTGCATTTTCATCATGTCTCATCATGCTACCTGGAATGGGGGTGAGGGTTACTTCAGTACGTCATGGACTGAAGTGGGAGCCAACTTTAATGCCGAAGATCTCCATTGCCTCCTGGCGGCGAAATCACATGACAATGCACTGCCAAGGGGCTACGGCCCAGTGGATTGCAATACGCCTTTACGGAAACTCACTGGTGTACAGAAGAGAAGCCTACAACGTGCATATGCAAGAGCTCAGATTCATGGCAGTGCTTGGTATAGGGGTAGATGTCTCACCATTAATCAATTCCCTAAGGGATTTCATGCACGATCACCCAACACAAAACCAAAATTAGTTTTTTCTACACCTTCCAAAACCCATACACCACGATATCGAATGCAGATTGGTCATGTTAACGTGGGGGGAATAGCACAACCCAGGTTACAAGAAGTGAAACAATGGGCATTACATCAGGCCATTGACATCTTGCTACTGTCTGAGACACGCTGGTCATTCGAAGCTGAGTGGTGTGATCCTCATTGGTACCATATACATACTGGAACTTCCTCCGACAAAGCAGATGGTCTCCTCTTTTTGATCCGCAGGACTGTTTGTCAACCAGATCAGATTGGATTTGCCTCTGTCTTTCCAGGACGTATTGGCCACCTGCGCATTCATTTTCACAAGAGGGCATTTGACCTGATTGGATGTTACCAATATCCAGCAGCACGCAGTGCAGCTCAACAAGACCTGCGCCACAAGTTCTGGGACTGCCTTACGTCCCATGCTGCCCAAATACCCAATCGTAATGCAGCCCTATTCATTGGTGACTTCAATTGTAGTATAGCTCAACATGGTCCTCATGTAGGCACGGCACATTACACCTGGCAATCACTGAAGCGGCTCGGGCCTGTGCATTCTGATTCCACAAGGTTACATGATTTTATGCAGCAACATCAGTTAACGGCCTTGAATTGCTGGAGGGCTTCTGATCCCCCCACTTTCATCAATGAGCCTGCTACTTCCCGCATTGATCATATTTTGATGAGACTCTCTGAGGTTGATGGAGCTGCCAAATCCGTGACCTTTTTCCCTGATGCACCCTTTTTGCCACTGAGCGGTGCCAGGCATATCCCCATGGTATGTACGATCCGTAAAATCCCAATTGCTTTCACTAAGCACACCCAGACCTACCCTACCACAGAGGATTGCTAGCCGACATGCATGGACCACCAACTCACAGACATGGCAACAATTTCAGCATGATTTTCATCAACAGTTTACCCAATTTACCCATCAACCCCATGATGACTTACAGTTAATAGATGGCCTCCACAGTACCATGATGCCAACATTCCAAAAAATTTTCCCTACCACCAGAAACTCCACTGCCACTGCTGATGAGGATTCCCTACAGGAACGAACTGTCAGAAGCAAATGGTACCATCGTGAACAGTTTTTAATCCATCAGCCTGCCACCATCAAAACTGTTTTGCATGCATGGTTTCACTGGGCCAGATTTGCTGCGCTAAAGCGCCAACAATATAATTCTGTCGCCTTTTAAAAAAACAAAAATTTGCAGACCTGCTGCATGAAGTTACCACTGCAGCCACCAGACATGACAGTTTTTCCGTGTACCAGATTGTACAGAAATTCACTCCGAAACAACCACGACGCAAAATCCGCATCAGACGACCAGATGGCATGCCAGCTTCGCCTGAGGAAATTATTGTGATGACACGACAATACATTGAGCGGGTCTGGAGCACTGCCAATGTCATTCAGATACCCCCAATACCACCAGGTGTGCCCTTTTCCTTTGATGAACTAGTTACTGAACTTAGCCGTATTCCCATCACCAAATCAGTAGCTGCCCGATGTTTGCCTGGTGTTTGTTGGAAGGGTAACGCGTTTGCCATTGCCACATTCTTGTACCCCAAACTACAACAATGGTGGAATTCATGTCCAATTGTAATTCCCTCTCAGTGGAAAGCTGCCCATCTCACGTTTATCCATAAACCCAATAAGGTACCTGATCGATTTGAACACCTCCGTCCCCTGGCTCTGTTGGAACCCATAGGCAAGAGCGTGCTGGGTTTGATTACCGCCAAATTTGCTGACAGTGTTTTTCCATTGATATGCAAGTGGCCTCAATTGGCCTTCCTGAAAGGCAGATCTTCTTTGGATGCAATCCGAAAGGTAGCAACACACTGTGCAGCCACCAGACGGCTGATTCAACAGCAGCGCCGCACGGTCCATCAAAGGGCCCAACATGAACCATGCTATTCAATCTGTGGCGGAATACAAATATTCCTAGACGCTACTCAGGCCTTCGATACGGTCCCCAGACAGGAATTATTCGACTTCCTTGCCACTCTGCCAGTTGACCAAAATTTAGTTCATATTCTGGGGGCATGGCACTCCGAAACAGAATATATTTTTCAGGCAGGGACGGATTTCATCAAGGTTGGCACAGGCCGCGGAGTTAGACAAGGATGTCGCTCAGCCCCTCTGCTGTGGACATGTTATACGTTGAATTTGTTTTACAAACTTTCCCAAAAATACGGTGATACTTGGGTTCAAGAATGTATAACAACTTACGCAGACGACATTCACAGCGCTGAGATCTTTAAATCATCACAACAACTTTTTACAGCGATCCACAGGATTGGAACTCTTCTTGACGTTCTCGAAGAGATGGGCCTGAAGTTGTCGCTCGAGAAGACTCATGTCCTGTTGGCTATCAGCGGCACCAATTGCAGAGTGATCTTGCGGCAGCTTGTCAAAAAAGGACCAAATGGCCCCTATATTGCCATTCCTAGAGCTGATGGAACCTTTACCAACTTGCCAATCAAACCCACGGCCAGATATCTTGGGGTTGTTGTGAGCTATCGCATTTTTGAGCCCATTACGATCCAATCTCGTTTGAAAGCTGCGGCCATCAATTTTCAAAGACTGAAACGCTGGCTTTGCGCTCGCACCATCCCGTTTAAGTCAAGGTATCAGATGTGGCAGGCATGTATTTTTTCAACCTTAATTTATGGCATTTTTGCAGTTGGCTTTTCCGTTCATGACTTGCTTTTACTTCAGCAGAGAATTTTTCTCATGTTCAGGCAGATGCTTGGCAACCACAGCTATATAACAGGACAAACGCATTTGCAAGTACTCCAATCACATAATCTCCCGCATCCGTTGGCCTTAGTTGCGCATGCCGGGAAACAGCTGATTTGCACTCAGGGCCAAAGACTCAATAACATGTTAGCTGTCGACATTGTACGGGACATCGACTGGACGGAACTGCCACAACTCATTCAGCTGACACAGATGGTCTGGACTGAACAGCTGCAGGCTCAGCAAAGCCAACCTGCAACAGAGGCTTGCCTGCCCAACTTTTCATGCCCATTTTGTTCAGTGCAATGCACCAGCCTTCCAAATTTACGACGACACCAAACCACTGTACATGGAATTGTCAAATTGCGCACACTGATGGCCACTACGGCATCATTTGCTGTTCGTGGTTTACCCCAATGTGCCCATTGCCTTGAATCCTTTCCCAATTGGAGAAATTTTATGATTCATATTGAACGCAATTGTTGCCAGGTGATTCTCGATCACACTACAACTGCTGGACGCCTGATGACACTGAACAGGCAACCTACTTGGCCACCGCTTCCTGAATCTCAGTTGACACATTTGCGATCCAAACCGTATGGATTACCAGTGCTTCAAGCCATCAAGAACCGTGACTGGAACAGTTTACAACAGATTCCGACTGCACTGGAGGATCTTACATCCTACTGTGTCATTTGCGGTGTATATACTGGTCGACCACAGGAATTGAACCAACATCTTCGGACACAACATCCGGAGCTGACACCAAACACCATGTGCAAGGCCAGTCAGCTATGCAGATCCCAAGCATCCAATTCACCGTGCCGGTTTTGTCAACGCAGTTTCAGACGCACACATCAATGTCCTGTGATGACCCAAGCTGCACTCATTCTCCTTCATACAGATCCCACAGGCAGTTCACATGAGCAACCGGGAGAAGCGACGCTGCGATGTGATGTCTGCGGACTACAATGCCAGGACTTGAGAACACTGCATGATCATGTTCATCAAGTGCATCGCCTCGAACCGCATGATTGGGTGCCCCTCAGGGACTTGCTAGGATCAGATCCGGTGTGCAGTCACTGTTTGGCTTGTTTCAGTGATCGTTCAGCAGTACGGCAACATGTGACTTTGGGACAATGTCCAAGGTTTGACCCGTTACGGCAACCAACAGATGCACCCATTTCTCACACTTGGCAGGAGATGGTTCAACAGGGAGCCTTGGATGAGCTACGCAAGGCACCAATGCAGCGGCTTTCTCTTACTTTGACTTGCCAATTCTGCAAGAGTGCATTTCAAAGACAAGGGGATTTATCCCTTCATTTACAGACCAATCATGCTGCGTTGTGGATGACTTCACAACCGCTGACCCAACTTCTACTGGCAGCTTACCCTAATGATTGCATTTGCAACCCTGCCACCAATGCCCGGGGTCTTGCTCACATTTGCGTGCCTTACAGGCAGCTTGGCATGATTGCAATGAAGCTGGCTATACCGCTGTTTCTGCCTTGGAAAATTGAATCATCCATGCTGAGACCACGGATCACTGCAACTGATGACCAAACTTTTGCACACCTCATGGAATGCTGTGACACCCGAAACTTTCAACAGCTTTGGAGTGATCCCATGCTGCAACAATACTTACGTTCCAGATGCCTGCAATGTGGAGTTCAACTGCATCCAGCAGAACTGCGTGATCATGTCATCCAAGCACACCCCTCAGCACCCATTGCGTTTTCAGCGTTGCTACCGCAGATACTAGCAGCCATGCATAGAGAGGCCACCAGTGATTTCCAATGTGATGCTTGCACATTGATTTTCAATAGTCCTGCAACAGGCGATGAAACCGCTGACATGGCTACTGCACGCACACGTTTGGCTCAGATCCATCTTCAGCACCAGTGCCCTGTTTTACATCAGATTTGCTTTTTGCTCACGTGCACACATGGAGTTGGAACCGCAGCTCACTCAGGAGGATTCAGAGATGCTGGAGGCCTTCAAACATCTCGGTCCTCTCCTGATGTCACGATACGAGCGGCCAGACGACGCTCGCGAGCAGAAGAAAATGAAGAAGGAGCAGGGCCAACCAGAAAACAAGGGAGGAGACGCTTTGAAACTTCTGCAGGCAATGGGGGCCCTGCTGATTCGCGTGGATGCCGAGCAACAGGTGCTCAAGCGACAAGATTGCTGGATTTGCTTCATGCAAACCGAGCCCCAAGCCCTGCTGCCCTCTCTGATCCAGAAAGCAACAGAATGGCATCAACAGAGGAAAACGGGCAACATGACTCCGGACGAACAGCTCTTGCCGCTGCGCTGTCATCTGACACAGCACCTGGCGGACTTCCTGATGCACAGACTCCTCAAGTTGTCCCAATGCAAGGAGAACGACCCATTGAGGACCACAGCCATCGCCCATGGAGCACTGACACAGGAGGGGAGCTTTCCTTATCAACGATGGCATCAGGCAACACAGCAGCTGAAGACCACATCACAGGAGCCCATCACGATGGCACGCATGCTCAAATATGGAGAACAACTCCAGGCCATCATGAAGGACCAGAGCGCCATAGCCAAGTTTCATTCTCTGAAGCCCCAGGCCGCCGAGACGGTTATCCCTTGGCTGATGCAGGTCTCAATGAGGCACGACGAGCTGCAGACGCTCCTGACGATTCTCCATGGCAACACGGTTTGGAGCTTGGTGGGTATGTCAGTGAAACCTCACTCACAGAGCCACAGCCGACCTGCCCAACACCTCATGGAATTGCTGGGCAAGGGTCAAGGGAAGAGCAGGAGCAAGGGCAAAGCCAAAGGAGCGAAGGGGGGCAAATGACACCTTCTGATCATCCTGACCGCATAGCCCTTTTACGTGGCCTTGCCTCCATCATGCTTGCAAATGATGAAAACTGGTGCTATGTCAATGCGGCCTTTTTGACTACAATGTGGTCTTTTCTGAGTTCCAATCAATTTGCGTTGGAACACTGGGGGCCTAGATCATCCCAACTAGCCAGCATTCTGTTGTCTTCAGACTCCGATGCCATTGAACTTGCCCATTTCCCATGCTTTCAAGAGGTTCTTAACACATGGCATGGTGCTGGTGGCCAGGGTGATCCTGTTGAGTTCATTGCACACATGATGCGTGCGTTTCAGTTTGAGGGGATCAACTTGCGCTGGGAGAAACGTGTCCAAGTTGGCCAACTGATCAACTGTCTTGATGAAAGTGATCGCTATGCCCCGCTGATCTTGCAATTTGATCCAGCTGTGCTTCAAGGTGATAAAATCACACTGCAACAGATGCTGCGTGATTGGTCCAACCAAGATGGTATGATGCGTGCTCTCACAAATGATTCCTCAATAATTTGTGTGCAGATTGACCGCAACGTGCGCTCAGGTGATGGACGAATTGCAAAGTGTGACATCGCAGTGAACTTTCATTGGGGTATTCAACTTCCTTTCTTTCTTGCTGATGACTTGCAGGTTGATTGGCGGTACTACAAGGTGGTTGCTGCCTTGTCACACCTAGGCACAGATGAAGCTGGCCATTGCAGGGCCCTACTCAAGGTGCAGATGCAGGCTACCATAGCTCAACCATATATGTTTCTTTTGACAGACGATTGGGTCAAATCCACACCGATTTGGAGAGAACCAGACTGGTTCCATCGCAATACGACCTGTTTCTGGCTGTGCAAACATGAACATGTCTCCCTTTATGATCTGCAACCTGACCAGATTCCACAGATTTTGCGTCCTCCGGACCCACCGCAGCCGTGCCTGGGAGCAACTGACTTATTGCAAATGTTTGCTGCTGGAACCGATGAAGCTGTAATGGATGGTTAAAAGTTGGGGGCCACTAGAAGATGCCGGACCACCAAGAAGTCCACCCCGATGAGGCTAATAGGAAAAAAAAAATGGGCAGGCCCGAGAAGATGCCGGACCACCAAAATGAAGTCCACCCCGATGAGGCTAACAGGACCCCCCCCCAAAAAAAAAAATCTTTAAACCATCCATTACACGGTAGCCAGATCAGATTCCAGACCAGCGCTCTACAGTCCATGCAGCAGTTTTCACCATGAGCTTTTACCTTTATTTGTTTGCTCCTCTTGAAGTGCCATTTTGGCAGACATTCCAAGAGTGTGGCTACGAAATGAGCAGAAGAATCATGCAATGATTCCGAAGGAATACTTGCCGTTTCATTTCAAACACCTGACTTTGCTCGAAATGAGAACTGAGTCTTTTCTTAATTTAGTACTTTACTTTGCCTGATGCCACGGACCACACAATGGCATCAACCAAACCCATGAAGTGCAGCTGATCTCCGCATGTTTTCAGCTGATGTTTGAAGTATATCCCATTGCCTACAGCCTGCCATCTCACCATGCACAGCACAGCAGCCTCTTGAAGATGCTCCACGATCTTTTTGCGCATCACGATCATAATTCACGAATGGAAGTACAAAACTGGGCAGGCCCGAAAAGATGCCGGACCACCAGAATGAAGTCCACCCCGATGAGGCTAATAGAAAAAAAAAATTGTACTTCCTTTCATGTACAGGCATGCAATGCGATGCTCTGAGCATAATTTACTTTCATCAGGCATCCAGTTTTCGTTACCTTTAGATTTGGCTTCTCACACCACTGCAGTTTTTGTGCATCAATAGCATGCTGCAGCGATCCCAAGTCCCTCCACCCTAGAGGGCCAACACTTACCAATCGAGAATAGTGTTGCAGTGCGCGCGAACTTTCCAATCATGAAAAGGAGCGTAGGAAAAAAAAACACACACACAGACACACACAGACACACACAGACACACACACTGCTGATGGGAGCATGTTACTGAGTAACATTACTCGAATGAGGAACTTTATAGTGATGAAGTAGTTCATGCCTTGAGGGTTCCTAGGTCCAAAATCCTGGTCAGTCGAGTAGGGAAAGCAGTGGGAAAATCTGATTTCTGAGATAATCTCAAATTAGCAACATATACGCATGAAAATGGACAGCTTGTTCAACAGTTCAAAACCAACTTCTGCAGGTACAGGGAGGTGATCAGTCTCCCCTTCCCACCAATGGCAATAGCTTCGTTGCGTGCAGTATGCCAAAGGTGCTGCACGCCCCTGCATCTGATGGATTGTTTGAATCAACTTGTTAACAGAAACTCAGGTCCGCATGAGTGATAGCGGATTTCACACACACAATGGCCCCCCCGGCAGGGGAGGCAGCTGCTGGTGAACGCTGTTTTTCATCGCAGTATCAGTTTGCAATATATACATGTCCTAGAAATTCTTGTACAACATATGGGAAAGGTTCACTGTAAATCAAATGGTCTCCTTGGGACAGAATAAGGGTCCGGACTGCGTTCCCGTTGGAGAGCGACTCTTCTGAAAACGATCGGTTGAAGGGAACGAGGACTGAACAGATGAACCATCAGCTGCAGTGAAAGACCGATCTTGACGTCGATGTGATGTAGAACTTGCATTTTCAGAAAGTGGCTCGATCAAAACGTTCTTGATACTCGAGCGTGTCTGACCATCATAACTATAGGGCTCCCGGACTTGCGATCTGGATCGTTCACTTTCATTTTCGAAACGAGACTCAACTGAAGCGTTCTTGATACTCGAACGTGTCTGACCATCACAAATATAGGGTTCCCGAACTGGCGATCTGGAGCGATCGGTGAGACGTTTCCGAAGGGACCACTGTTCCAAAGTATTGCTAAGTTCACGCAACGAAGGCATCGTAAGAAGGAGATAGATTGGTTTGAGTTTGAGCTTAAATATACTCTTCAAAATTCAAAAACGTGTGATTCGAACTGTCAAAGTCAAGATTCGCAATCGGCAAAAGTATGATAAAAACAACTGAGTTGAGAAAAACACAACATGAACATAACTGAAAAGGTAAATGAATAAGAAGAAAACAGTGTGACGTTATCGAACTTCAGATGAAAAACGTCAAAGAATGCCCATTGATGAAAATGTCCAACATCAAATGACTTCACGAAAGTGATGGCGAATGACGACAAAACATGACAATGCGAAATCCAGCAACTGTTTTGTCTGCGTTTCCTGTCATGGTATCTAGTCAAAGTGAAAAAGAGAATCAGGATCAAGTTGTGGATGACGTGAGCGTACCAATTTGATAATCTGACTTCTCAAAGTAGAAGACAATACATCACGTTGTCGTCGAGACCAAATGGACAGAAAATCTTGAATTTGAGGTATTTGTAGAGAACTGGGCCATGTATTCTGCAAAATGAGACGAATTCTGGCCAGAGCTCCGGACGTGAGTGCCTTAGTCGTACTTGAACTCCTTGTTGAACGAAACGCTTTGTCCACAGGTTGAAGATATGTAGTTGTACGCTGTAACACGTCAGCGTTGTATCCTAACAATTCAGATCCTTCAACTTGTTCAAGTAGAATGGGAGGTGAATAGAATGAAAGATTCCAAAATAACTGCATTTCTGAGTTCCAGTGTCCCACAGGAAGTAGCATCACTCGATTGTCAACGTAACGATGATGAAAAGTGGAATTGTTGGTAAATTGACGAAAACAGGACAGAAAAATATGTTCTCGCATGAGTGCGACAGCTGCACAGAAAATAGGTGCCCATTGACTACCCATGCTGGCACCGCGTTTTTGTAAAAATGTAGACATTCCGACGGTGAAAAAACTGTGATTCAACAGAAAGCTACAAATAGGTAGAATGTCGCCCAAGCGAATATCACGATACATCTTGGTGTGTTGTCGCCATTGACCTCTAAAAACTCGCAGGGTGCGTTCATGTTGATATACGTGTGCTTGAAGTACAGAATCGAAGGTCTGTCCATGTTGTAAAATATATTGATGAATGGCGAATTCAATAGATCCGAGAATGCGGTCATGTTCAACTTGGTTGTAGAAACCAGCAATATCAGTCTGAAAGAGAAGAAGGTCAGCACCATGATCAATTTGGAAAAAGCATTTGATTTCGTTCATCACCTTGTTGATATCACTGTAGCGAAGTAAGGATGGATAAACAACTTTCAAAATATCTTGCAACACCACAGACAAAATATAACCCATCTGTTTTGGCCAAGATCGACTGTAATTAACGATGGGTCGTGCTTTCATAAACGAGCGTGACGGTTTTGGAAGAATATACGCCTTGCTTAATGATAAATGAAAATCGAAAGCCCAAGGATATCTGTCAGTGATCCATCCAGGAAGATCATACTGAATATTCTTCAGAATAGTGGCTGAATCAACACTACAAAGATGAAAAACAGAGGTGTCTTGAAATGTCTTACACAGCAAATTGTGCCACTGGACAGGACAATGTAAGGTGAGAGACGATGGAAAATGATCTGCTGGGGAAGCAATAAGTCCGTCGATCCTTTGTCGAGCCTGTCGAATACGTTTTTGAGTGTACAACTGACCTGAATCAAGTTGCAAATTCCAACAGTCTTGTAGAAAAGCCTGCCAATACTGGATGAGATCTCGGCGAAGTTTCCAACGTCGTAACCATTTTTCAAATTGGAAGGTGTTTTGATGGAAAAATTGTGTCCACGTAGGTGTAACTTCATCTTCCAAATGTGCAGTCAGAATAGGATCCAGTGGAAAACATTCCGAGGCGAAGGATGAAATATGATCTGTTTTCCGTGGATTGTGTTGAACATGAAGAGGAAACAACTGACAAGCACACTGAGGGCGAAACTGAGGTGTCCACAACTTTAGAAAAGAACGAAAATTGTACAAATATTGAGCTAAAGTTCGATTTTTCACTGTCACAAACGGTGCACGAACTTTGTGAAAAATGGGAAAGTTACAGCGATGATGGTGAGTGAATCCCAGCAACCATTGTCGAAATCGACGTTCCATTGTATCCGACAAAACCTGTAACTGCATGGGTATATTCGCTGGTGGCGATTCAGTAGCATAGAATTTGAAAATATAACGCAATTGAGATTGTGCTCTGGTCCGAAAAGGTTCCGACATATGGTGGCTCAAGCGCCATAACAAGAAAATCAACTGCACATTTGACAACTTCGAACGTAGAATGCGAGAACAAATGAACTTGTCATGCGTGTCAGAACCAAGGGAATACAGGAAAATGTACAAACTTGTAGTATCCGTAATCCGACGACTAAGAATGCATTGAGCAGTTTGCAGACTGCGTTTGCGAAATCGTTTCAAAAATTTCATCCCTTGAGTACTGGTCTTCAAAGTTGAAGGTCCGAATTGTTGTTTACCAATCCGAAGTTGTTTCATCAAAGGATTGATCCAAGGCCAATTGTAAATGGGGCGAAAAGTCCTTTGGCATGCTGTTTCAACTGCAAGAAGCTTGTCAACGTCAGTCTGGAGTAAAGGAAAACCAATAAATTGAAAATAGTTGCGTTGTGCTGACCAGGCCTTCAAAGCTGGTTCGTAGTAAGCAAGTTGGTCTTTCTTTAACTGTCGGTATTTTCGTAACCGACTCTGTTCTCTCGAAAACATGGTTTGTTCAGTGGAGCCAATGTAAAACTGAGCATTTCGAAAATGTAAACGACAGTACACGATGCTCGACCTGTTCCACCATGTCCATGACAAAATTTCTGGAAGTTCGCACTGCCGCAAAATAGTCAGAAGACGTCGATTTTTGGCTGAAAAAGGTCGAATGATGTAAGCAAAAATGGTCCAAACACTAAGTATCCACATGATCCGTTCCTGTACATGCCATGGTAAAGCTGGAGAAAATTGCAAAGTGTAAATCATGAATTGGATGCTAGCAAACCACAGCGACTGAAAAAGTGAGGCAAGCTTCGTTGTCTCTGCACCATGCATATGCTTGGAATACTTGCGAAATGGCTGCCCCCATGATGATGGAGG